TTGGGTACATAACTGGTACTTGTCATTCACACCGGGTTACAGTGTTGTGACAAACAACCTGGAGCACAGAGAAATTGTGGCTAATATTTGTCTGGTGTAAATGATCATAGCTCAGCAGCTCAGCTCTGTGAAAGTTTGCTTATTCCATCTATTTATGGATTTATTCTCCCCTGAACACAAATGGAAATAAGGGTGGGAGCAGGCCTGGGTCTGCTGCCAGCGCCAGAGGTTGTTGTTCCTCCCGTGGGCTGCAGTCAAGGCCTGCAGTGACATTCTGCAAGTTGTTGGCGTTAGTGTAGAGGAGGGGCCCATGGAACATTACATCATCAAAAGGTGACTTTCTGGTCTTGTTTGCCTTTCATAATTTATTTCTCTACTGTTCAAATGATTGATTGAAGAACAGTTGTTAAAAAGGATCCAGAAAATGATATTTTTATTCTCCTGTGAAATACAAATTTATCCAGGTGAAAAAATGGAAGATTATAAATATATCTATCGGTCTTCCAAGGAAATTAGCTGCCACATGTGGGGCATGGTGGCACCTCCTTGTTAGGTACAGTTAGGCTTTCCATTCATCTAGAAAGCGCTCTCCTTGCCTTTGTGTTTTGATAGGAATGACTCCTCCTTTACATCTCTTATTTCACTGGATGGGGTTGAGGACACCCGTCACGCTGTGCTGAGCACTGAGCTCCTGTGTAGGCAGGCTGGCAGGGTGCTGCCGAGCCTCTGCCTTTGTCACCATGAGCTCTGAGCAGGGACAAGAGCAGGGTGGCTGCACCTCGTACGCCCACACTGCCAGCCTGAGGAATGCTGCAGTGCCTCATCACTTCAGAAAGGGAGAAAAAATCAGTCCTTTTTCTCCGAATGTGCTTGAGAATGGCCTTCAAGCTTTTGCTTGGAAATAGAGTTAAGTTCATAAAAGACAGCAAGGAATTATTGGAAAAGTCCTCCAAAAGAATTTGCTGTGGGATGCAGCTATGTAGCACTTATGAAAAGTCACCTGTGAAGAATAGTATGGAACCAGTCTGCAAGAGAGGCCTCCGGATCAGGCCAATGCATTTCATAGAACCATAGAATCAGTATGGTTGGAAAAGAGCTCTAAAATTATCTGCTCCAATAGCCCACCTACCACCAATATTGTCCACTAAACCATGTCCTTCAGTGCCACATCTACACTTTCCTTCCCCTTCTGGGATTTTAGGCTAACTTTGTGCCTCAGATCCTTCCTTGTTCAACAGGTCTCTAGAGCTGCAGCCCAAATGCTGATCCTGCTTGTTGCTCTCTCCTTTTCTGGAGCTTGTACCTCCACTCCAGGATGTCCCCAAGTGGATGAAAACTCTAGGTAGCAGCTTTGCTCTTTGAGCTGATGCAGACATGTACAGAGCCCATCAGCAGAGCCACGGGCTTCCCAGCCACGTCTAAGGTAGGAGGCCTGGAGAAAGGCTGTTTACGAGGGTGGATAGTGATAGGACAAGGGGGAAATGGTTTTAAACTGAGACAGGGGAGGTTTAGGTTAGATATCAGGAGGAAGTTTTTCACACAGAGGGTGATGACACACTGGAACAGGTTGCCCAAGGAGGTTGTGGATGCCCCATTCCTGGAGGCATTCAAGGCCAGGCTGGATGTGGCTCTGGGCAGCTTGGTCTGCTGGTTGGTGACCCTGCACATAGCAAGGGGGTTAAAACTACATGATCATTGTGGTCCTTGTCAACCTAGGCCATTCAATGATTCTATGTTTCTACAAAAGGTAAAAACAAGAAGTTGATAAATCCATAGAGATGTGCCTGAGAGAGAGAGGTGTGTTGGTAGGGCTGTTTGCTTTAGAGAAAGAAGTACTCATTCCTTTATACACTGGAGGAAAAATGTATAACCTTTCATGATAAGATTACATAGTTCAGGTCCATCAGTCTTCCATGTTCCTTATAGAAAAATTGAGACATACAGAGAGAACATGAGCAGAGTGGCTGCACCTCCAGCAGGTGTGTGTGAGATGTCATCTGCCTTTATGGATCAATGTAGTTCCTGACAGTTTGATAGATTGCACTTGGATATATTTTGTAATATGCATAAATATGAAAGAAAAAAAAAAAAAGAGGTTTTCTGAAGAGTAGAAAAGGTGCCCATTGTGGTAGGTGATGCAATGTTGCATCATATGCTTTAGAGCAGTTAGTCCCAGTCAGGCTTAACAAGGCTCAGAGGCTGCGAGCACCACCAGAAATACCTTCAGAATGTTAATGCTGTAGTTAATAAAGCAGATCTTTAAAACAGTGTAGTCAGGTAAATTAGAAGGCCTAATTTAAGCTAATGGGAAGAAGATGAAGGAAATTCTGCCAGTAAAAAAAATTCTTTTCTTTGGATGCTGCCTAAGGAGTTTGTTTTGGAGGCAAGCATTGGGAACGTGAAATCTCTCCCAGCCTTGAATTACAGAGCTACCTAGAAATGTACTTCAACGCGGGGGCCAGATTTAAACCTTCACTTATTCAGCCTAAGCAGTGGTCGTGCCATATGCATATCCGCACTGCACACAAACGGAGCGTGCTACGATGCGATGAGCATTTTATTGGCATGAATCACCTGCGACTTACTCACTTGCCCTAAACCAGCATCTGTTCACCACAGACACCATCCCGGCGTCGCTCAGAAACACAGGAACACCACAGGAATAATTAAAACAAAACAAAACAAAACAAAACAGACCCACAAGCCGAAAACCAACCCAAACCCAACCGCCCCCAAGCCTGACACCCCCATGCGCAGCAGCCCTCACGCCGAGGGACGGGACTTCCCGTTTCCCCCTCCCCAGCCCCCCGACGGGGCTCTCCGAGCCCTCCCGGCGGCGGCGGCGGCCGCGCGGTGGCGCCCTCCGCTCACGGACTCCGCTCCGCGTTGGCTCCGCGCCCGCGCAGCGCCCGCCGCCGGGGAAGCCCCTGCGAGGGAGCGGCTCCGCAGGGCGGCCCACGCCCGTCCCGTCCCGTCCCGTTCCGTCCCTTCCCGTTCCGTCCCTTCCCTCCTGGCGCGGAGCGGGGCCCGACGAGCAGCGCGCTGCCGTCCGTCCGCAGCCATTTCGAGGGAAATCATTCATCGGTTCTAAATTTCCTTTATCTCCGGAAAATCTCGCAAGAGTAAACGACCGTAATAGCAGCGTAATTGTCTGCTGCGTTTTTTGTTGCTGTTGTTTTTGAGAAATCGATCCGGGCTCCAATAACTCATCGCGGCGCGTTACACCAAAAAGGAAAAAAAAAACAAAACAAAAAACAAAACCAAAAACAAAACACAAGAACAAAACAACCCATAAGGAAACAGGAGAACGAAATTATTGCCGCTTCCTGAACTCTCTGCTTATGATCCCAGTAATTAAAATGTGCGGTAATGGCTCCTGCAGCCTCGGATCTCCGGGGGTAATTCTCGGAAATGAATGGAGGGGGGCGAGGAGGGGGCCGGGAGCCGCGGGATGCGCTCAGAGCTCCGCGGGGACGCGGCAGGGACGCGGAGCGAGGATTTCCCTCCCGCAAAGCAACTTTTGTGGTGCGGTTTCTGCACCGCTGCCTTCCCCCGGGAATGAGTGTGGGGGTGAGAACAACATTGAGAATCCTCCAATAGAAAAAAAAATAAATACGGGGAGGGGGGGAATAATAATAATAAAAAGACCCTCCGCGCCTCTAAAGTCCGGTGGGAATGGGGTCCCCCGTGGGGGTCTCAATGCCTGTGCTGGGGCGCGGAGCGGGGCCGCGGGGCAACCTACGGGCCAGCCGCACCGCACCGCCCTCCTCCGCCCTTCCCACCGGTGGGTTTTTACATTATTAGTATTTCTTTTTATTAGTATCATTCTTTTTTTTTTTTTTTTTTTCGGGGGGGGGG